CGTAAACACAACTTCAGAGCTCCTCTCCATTTTCATTAATGGTAGGGCCTGATAAAATAAATAAATAAATTAATGGAGATATCCTATCTCCTAGAACTGGAAGGGACCCTGAAAGGTCATTGAGTCCAGCTCCCTGCCTTCATTAGCAGGACCAAGTACCGATTTTGCCCCAGATCCCTAAGTGGCCCCCTCAAGGATTGAACTCACAACCCTGGGTTTAGCAGGCCAATGCTCAAACCACTGAGCTATCCCTCCCCCCTGATAGAATAGGACAATGTGTTACTCAAAGGGGGAGAGAGACAGCTCTTTGAATGTTGTTTTGGACCTCTCAGAACCCTTGGGGCTTGGGTTCCGCAGAATTTGGGGATATGTCTAAGAGGGAGAAGCTCCTTTCAGAGAGCCGCTTATCTCCAGACAGTACCTATTTCAAGGGGAACTGATACTTGGAGCAGCATTTTCTGTTTCTGGGGTGCTCCTGAGCAGTGTGGAGGGGGGAGAGGAGAGAAGGAAGCTAATGGTAGAACATGTTCTGTAGGAGATGTGCAGCTAAGCTTAGAGGTTTCAGTAGTCAGAGGGGTCGGGGAGCAGGGCAGAGATTTTAGGACAGGGGCAGTCAATAGGCAGACAGTGGGCCAAATCTGGACCGCCATACACTTTTGAATGGACCCCAAAATCTTTTTATTTACATATTATCATCATCATTTTTTTGTTGATTTTTTTATTATTTTCTCCACAGTCTGGACCTTGACCAAGAAATTTGGACCTCGACAAAAAATAATTCGCTACCTCTGTTTTAGGATATGTAGGGCTGGGAGCAGAGTTCCGTGCATTCCGTAGTGCTGCACAAGTCTGAATGCTGACTTCTCCTGATTTTTCGCTTCTTCAACAGGAAATATACAAAGTAAACCTCTAAGTTCCAGTTCAGGTTTTCCTGTGAGAGACTACAGTATGGCCCAGAGGCAGGGATTTAAATTACAGCTGAAGTTTTTTGGACAGCTTTTGTTGCACTCTTAAGCAGTCTTTGCTCTGGGGAGCATCTCTCTTTCCCACTCTCAGACATTCTCTCTGGATCACCGATAGCTTAGGCCTATTAAGATCTGAGAGGAAACAAGTTATTTGCACAGGATAACCACTTGCTATGATCTACTTTTCTGTTTGCAAAGAGGTAACTTAATAGGGCTTTTCCTGGTCCTGTTTGTTTGTTTTTTGGATTTTGTTGTTGTTGTGAGATTCCATTGTGTCTACATCTTTGGCATTTACGTGATCAGAAAGATGAGACTGACAGCAATGTTTATCCCTACAAGTGTCCTTTGGCTCCAGCTTGTCTTTGGGGTAACTTTTTCCAGGATTTGTTTTATTGTGCTGCTGAACAGTTGATTCAGTATTGTAATGTCCTTTTATTTTAATTGAATTAGTTACTATTCAGGGTTTCATAACAGTTTGCTTAATGGAGGTTTGTTATTAATTTGGTTAAAAAAATAAACAACAACAACAAAAATCTCTTGAAGTCAGTTTTCAAACTGTATTTGAATTTTTTTCTGGCCTTTTGAAAGCACATCTTAGTGATAAACAGTCTGATGGAGGCTAATTAGTTTCTTTAGACATATTTTGCCTTCAGTGCAACAAAGTGAGTCAAGTTTTATTTCCCAGTAGACTAGAACAGTATAAATGTTGTATACCCACTATTTCTGTTTGTCACAAACATTTCAGTTTACATTATTCCTTCACCTGGGTGGTAGTTGCTGTTTTTGTAGTGTCCCAGGAACATTCTCAAGCCCCTTCTATAAACTATTGCTTAGGTGTTGTTGTTAGAACACCTAAAATAAGTCCATTTAGAAGGTTTGAGGCCTTTACTCCTTCCCTCTGCCATTGGTTTTCCTATCTGGGCAGCTATTTCCTAGAAAGTGGTCATCAGTCTCTAATAGTGCTCTGATTATTTCCTTCCTTTCTTCTCACAAACAAGAAGGCATTGAGGTGAAGAATGACAAAGCACAGCCTTGTCACTATCCACTTTGAGGTGAAAAAAAAAAGCTTTTCAAAATTTATGCATACAGTTAAGCAGCCCATACAGCATTAAGTTATGGAAATAAAAAAGCCCATTTAAAACTAAATCTCAGGAAATCAAAATCCTCTGGATGGACTGGGAGCAATCAAAAGGCTGACTTAATTCACATGTAGCCATTATTGTGCCTCATCCACACTCTCAAATTATTCTAATTACTTGCTCAAATCAGACTGAGCAGTCTGCAGTGTCTGTGAAATAGTTCAGTGATTTAGCCCTTTGGGTGTGACGGGTGAAGAATTAATCTAAATTCTCCTTAGGCTTTTTCTGTGGGAGAATTCCCAGTTTTTGATAACTTAGTATCAATACCTGCTTTTCTCCTGAGCAGGAACTCCTTAGCAATCTTACTTTCAGCTGCATGCAGTGTCATATGCAGATTTTAGATTTTTCAATATGCAAAGCCCTCTCAGCCCAGGATGAAAGATTTAAGAAATAAAATATGACTATCTCAGATTAAATGGTGATGGATCTTCACCTCTAGACACTTAGGCTTGGGCCAGGAAGAGCGACTCTGTGTTTGTTCTGCTCTTTGTGGAAATACATGTGTTATATGCATCACTCTGCCCCTTTGCTTGAAGAGCACTTGTTGGCTGTATTTGCAAATTGCAGGAAAAGAGCCTCTTTTGTTGAAAGCTTAGAATGCCAGTTCTCTTTCATTTCCCTGTATATGAGACTGTAAGAGCTTTGCATTCTGTAAGAGGTATGTGGGAAAAAATCCAACAGTGAAGTGGCATCGCCATTAAAGCCACGTCCACTGTGAAGCAGCATACTTGGCTACTCTAAATTATTAAACTCTTGTCTGACTGCATTGGTATTATGTCTTCCTGCACTCACAGCCAATGAAAGTGTGCGAGTCTTGTGGACAAGCAGCAGCAGTATTCCACTGATGGATTCATTGCTGCCCACAGGACTGTGTATAGCAACTCTGAAACAAATGAAGTGATTGTTAATTTCACCCTGCTGCTGCTTGTCAAAGCAATGAGCAACATCAGAGGCATTGCAGCTGTCTGTCTACAGACTCAATGTGTTTGTGACCATGAGGGTTAGAAACTTTTTTAAAGGAAAGTGTAAATTCTCCAGAAATCAATGATTTGGGCATCCTTGCCCAGGAGAGCTTTCCCACTTGTCATTGGTGACTGGATGAATAGATTTTTCAAGTCCTAAGTGTACACCAATTTATAGACTCCCATATGGCCACTGAACTGAAACTTCTACAGTGTATCTCCACTAGGGCACTATCATGATCGTTGATGCATTTTGTATAGCAGCTTTGATCCCTAAGGATCTCAAGGCTGTTCTATAACAACTTTATAAAATGTCATTCATTCACAGCTCTGGGACTTTAAAAAAAAAAAAAAGGTGTGAATGGGTTGAAATGGACTACCAAGGACTATCCAGAGTACTGGGGTGTGCGGGTAGTTGCCCTTTCATTGGCTTAAGTGATTTTGCTGCTTCCAGCCTCAGTTTGCTATGCACAAGCAAGAAAGATAAAATAGGATACATGATCTGTGGAACTTTGGAAAGTCAGGTTACTTATTTTACGTGTAACCTCAGCCACCCAAATTTGAAAATGTTGGTTTGTCTGCCTATAGGGTCTGGGGTAATGTGGTACAGAACTTGTCTCCTTTGATCTATGTCTGTGCAGCATTTTTCAGAGGTTCATTATTATCATGTTCTGAGTTGCACACTCCTCTAGTCATAGAACCCACACTCAAACTGGAAATTCAACTGTGCATTCACATTGATATCTTTAATATCTCAAACAGCTGTCTGCTGGAGACTGGTCCAGCTCATAGACCTACCTATGAAAGAGGAAGTAACCTGTTTTTCCGATGGTTGTTGCAAGAACGAAGGCACTGACTGAAGAGTGCATATGGCTGGTCAGACTTTCCAGTTCAATAACTGTTTTCCACTATCATTAAAAAAAAAATCAAATGTAAAACATACCTTTTTAAAGTCTTTCGTGTTCCATGGTATGCAGGAGAAGTTCAGGTGAAGTTGGTTTCTCAAGTAGAACTAAGGAGTTCAGTCACTTGCTAAACCCAATGTGATCATGTGCTATCTTTGACCTGGGCTAATGTACATGTGATTTGAAGTGGCAATATTAACAATGTGCTTGCAACACGTGGTTTTTTCCCCCTTGTTTGAAAGGTTTTTCATTGTGGTTAGAAGTTCTTTGAAACTCACTGGTCAAAGAAGCACGTGCTTTCTCAGCAAAATGGTTATTTTGATGACAATGTTGCTGTTTTAGCTTTTTGTCTAAGGAGGCAGAACTACACCTCTACCTCGATATAACGCTGTCCTCGGGAGTCCAAAAATCTTACCGCGTTATAGGTGAAACCGCGTTATATTGAACTTGTTTTGATCCACTGGAGTGCGCAGCCCCGCCCCCCTGGAGCACTGCTTTACCACGTTATATCCAAATTCGTGTTATATCAGGTTGCATTATATCGAGGTAGCGGTATATGTGTAATAGGAAAAACTGGCGTTCCTATCTCCTGTGGTAGCCCTGATGTGCAGGGGTCCTGCTGAGCTTCTCTTTTGAGGTTTTATTATTGGTCTGTATCTCTTTCTGTACTTGGATTTGTTTTGTATCAGTGTTGTGTAGAATAATGTGTCTGGTGGGGTTTTTTGTGTTTAAACCCCACTCATCTGCAAATCCATGTTCTTATCTTCACTGTATCTCTTAGTAGGAGCACATTAGCTACAATCACATTTTAAACTTCTTCATCCTGGTTGATCACTGACCTTGATCATAAATCCAGCACGCCTGCCCGCTCCCCAGCCACAGTACAGCTGTACTTCATGTTATATTTTTGACTTTCTGTCTTCATGTCAGCTAAAATTTGATAGCCGATATGTGAATCATTTTTGTAAAATTTGTTAGTATATGACTAACAATGGAATCTTTTTTTGTTTGTTTGTTTTCCATCCCCAGATATGAAGATCAATGATACAGACCACCGGCTTCAATGATGCTGGGCATTTATAACTGGGTTCATTAAGGAATACAAAGAAAATACTTAAAGGGATCAATAATGGTGTCTTCTGGTTGCAGAATGCAGTTTTTTTGGTTACTTCTCATAACTGGCTTCCTACAGAATACAGAAGGTAAGATTATATTCTGTCTTTTAGTTATGCTCCAGATGAGAGACCACATGCTCTTGTATAATTTTAAAATATTATTTTGCTTTTAGATTACTCAGGAGTTTTAGGATGCATCTGCCTAACTAGAAACAACTAATTACTACCTGTCCTGTTCTAGAGCTTAGCTGTTAGTCGAAATGATTGATATTAAAACAAAACAAACATTAAAAATAAACGTACATTGTTTGATACAGTGACACTAAATAACAGTATTCAGACAACTGGAGTGATGATAGAACTGGTAGGTGGTTTATTTTTCGATTCCTTCTATTCAGTCCTCTCACTATACTGTCCTTGAGCACAAGTAAACTGCAAGTTATATAAACAGTGCATAGTTGTTTAAAATACGTTCTAATGGAACCAAAAGCAGCGGTCAGAGCACCTATTTTACTTACATTGATTGGCTTGCTGGAAATAAAACTGCAAATATTCCATTAAAATCAGTGCTATACGTCTGAGAATTGGGCAAATGAAACTGAAAGCGCATACAGGAGCGCTGCCAGTTTAAAAACCTAACTGCTCTCTGTAAATTGTTCACCTCTGGTACATATAGCACCTAAGATTGCTCATAAATAGAAGAGATTAGTGAGGAAAAACTTTTTTTTTCTTTGTGTAAAATCAGTTCACTGTTTCGATAATATAGTCAGTCTCCTTGGTGTTTTTGTGGCTTTTTTAGACAATTAGAGTGGAGCGAGAAACATTTTAAAAGAATAGGAAAATATGATTTTAATTTTTTTAATCACAAATATTGGCAAGGGAATTTTGGGCTAAGTGTAATATCTAAAAATATTTGTAACTTTTAAAAAATTAACTAGGTTTCAAGTTGGCCGTTTTCCTTTAATAGCATTCATCCCCATAGTTAGATAACCCCATGACTGATAGATAATATATTACTTTTAAGAGTGTAATGATTTAATTTGCAGTTCCTCAGTTACATCTGATACCACTTTAAAAAAAAAAAGTAGAGATGTATCTCACCATGTATGAATTCTTTGGATTCATAGGTCAAACCCCTCTGAGTAATTCAGAAAATAGAGTGCAGTAAAACTAAACAAGCACTACTGTCAAACAAAACCTAGCAAAGTTTAAAGGCTTAAATATCTTATAAAAGCTCTCACATTCAATATATATTTATTTAAACATTTGTTCTAGTCTAAGACTCTCTCAACTTACTCAGTTCTTGGGCTTGAATTAATAAACCTATTTGGCTGAAATATAGTAATAACTCCTATGTAGACTTCAAGGAGTACATTTCAAGGAGTACCTTCCTGAGGGTTATTGCCTTTGAAAGGTCTAGTTTTGCCTAAACAGCTTTCAAGATTTCTCTCTTCCCCCATCTTCTCCCCACCCTGAGTTGTGAGTATAGTGCTGAAGACCAACACATTCATCTTTTGGATTGTATGATTCTTTGGATGGTAACTTACGATTTTTTAGAGACTATACATTTGTGTGTTCTTGGTGTCCTTCATGTTTTTAGTCTTGGATGAAACCTTATTGTCATATGAAAAACAAGTTTCTGCAGATGGGAAGCCACTAGGAGCTTAGATATCTAAATTTTACAGCTAGTTGGCTTTGGTAATTACTGTGTTTGATGCAAAAATGCATTCATCTTGCAAGAATGAATGAACTAGTCTAAAATTGTATTTAAAAGATAGTACTGGGAAATGGTGTTTTCACTTCATGGCTTTTCCAATTAAAGGTGCTCAATGACAGTTATAAAATCTTAAGTTTGTGTGTGTGTAGTTATTTAAAAATCTCTCAACTCAGAATTTTAAAACATTTATCAAAATATCTCAGTATTGGAGTTCAGCAATATGTAGCAATTGAAGAAGATCTGGAAGCAGGAAGGGGAAAATGCTATAGAACACATAGTTATAATTTTTTTCTGATTAACTTAGATATATCTAACAAGCAATTTACTACTGTGTTTGGGTAGGAAAAATAAACTGAAAGCTTCTGCATGCCGAATTTGCCGAAAGGTAATTTTCATTTTCATTTGTAACATTTCAGATCCATGTTGTTCTATCCCTATTCTGGCTTCTAGGAGGCAGTAGCAATCTTTTGATGCTTCAGTGCTGAATTCAATTCCTTTAAAGTCTACACAAGACTTACTTTCTCTGCTAAAATAAATGGAAGGAAATTGGGAGCAGCTAACAGAATCACACACAATTAATTATAAATTCTAAGAATAAATGAAATATTTTGGCACTGTATTTTGAAAGTGAATATTAATATTGAGTTGATTTAAGCCACCAGAAGCAAAGTGAATACAGCATTGCTAGACTTTCTGGCGAGATTGTGTTGCCTTTTGTTTCAGTCATAAAATATGCCAAGTGTAACATGCTCTACTAACGATGCTTCATCCCTGGAAGTATAACCACAAACAAATGCTAAAAAACGGTATCTAAGACAGTGGTTCTCAAACTTTTGTACTGGGGACCCCTTTCACATAGCAAGCCTCTGAGTGTGACGCCCCCACCCCTTATAAATTAAAAACATTTTTTAATATATTTAACACCATTATAAATGCTGGAAGCAAAGCGGGATTTGGGGTGGAGGATGATAGCTCATGACCCCCCCATGTAATAACCTTCCGACGCCCTCAGGGGTCCCTCCCCCCAGTTTGAGAACCCTTGAAAATAGGAATATCTTTAATTCTCTGACTTGGAATCTAGCTACTTAATTTTTGTTATGGAAATCTTATATACATAAGCAGGTTGTTGCAGCGGGAAAAAAAAACGAACTAAATTTAATGCTGTTAAGAGTGAATGTTTCTGTACAGTGAAAAAAGATTCCAGGTGTGGACCAATGGTTCATTAGTCCACTTAATGAAAAATTTTCCAATCAAGACAAACTCCTCGTTGCTGTCACAGTGGCTTAATCCAATAGGTTGTTAGCAGACAGAGACTGTTTCACGAGAGACTGCAGTATTATTTGCAGTATCTATCAAGTCAAGAATCATATCTGCAGTTAAGAGAAGTTTCGTTTCTTTTCTTTTCTTTTTGAGGCAACAGGCCAAGGGGTTTTGCTTTTGAAGCAGTTCCTTCCTACAGGTAAAGAGAACCTGGAAAGGACATATACTGGCAGCTAGAAGGAAAACTGCAAAGAGTTAGTACATACTTCTGGTACATTGATCTGTGTCATCTCAGTTTGCTTTAGAGAAGTCTAACAGGGCATCATTGCCTAACAGCAGTAAGTAGATGCTAATGTGACACCAAATAAAGAGAACCAAGCAAAAGAAGGAAACATGAGGGAAGAAGAGCTAAAGTTAATTAGCTTAAATATTTACTTTACATTTTATTTTAACGTTACGATCAAGATTTGATTTAACTTTTTGATTCATTTTATGTCAAAGTAATTAGGGAAGAAATTCCAAAAAAGTGTCAGTGGGTTTGATGTCTCATGTATAGGAGGATTTTAAAAGTTTTTTTTTCCCCCATCCTTGTGTATTTGATTTTTAAAAAACTCTGTTTCCTAAAGTAATAGCTATTATTAATTAGGTTCAGCCCCTCTTTGTCTATAAATAGTCATTTTTGTTTACATTAAAATGAAAAGCATAAAACCCAGATTTTTAAACATTATATACTCCAGTGGAGTAGACAATATATTTTGTTCACAAAATTTTATTTACAAAAATTGAAAGTGCTTCTAAATGTGCACTTGAAATTATTACATTTATTTTAAAAGATACATTTAAATACTAGGTACTATACACACCTAGTTCCTGAAACATGGAGAATGCATGTAGCATTCTTAGCCCCCTCTGAATCCTCTGAAGGCAATGGGAATTGAAGGCTCTGAGCACATTTCAAAAGATGTTCAACATCCTTGCACAATTGAGACCCCCCCCAGGGCCTAATTCTGCAAACAGTTGTACACATGAATAAATTCACATATGTATATGTGTAAGTGTTAGCGGGATTGGGCCCGTAGTAGTTAAAACACACAAACCCTTGTTCACAGCATATCTTGAATTGATAGGAGAGCTTCACTAATAGAGAAATCAACTTTTTGTTAACTGGTTTAATTTTTGTTTTGTCCATTTCTTCCAGGGTAGTGCTTGCTGTAGCATCATGTGTCAGTAAGCAGGAATGTAAATTGAATTTCTCTAGCTTGGAGAATTAAATCACAGTAACTCTGTGTGAAACACTACATTTATTAGGCAACTTCTTGGTTTAACGAAATATCCACAAACATAACGAGTACAATTTTGCGCCACTTCTGTTAAGCAACCAATTTTTGTCAGTCCCTTGTGTGCTCAATTCTGATAGGTTTTACTGAATCCATACTGCATAATGGAGTCTTAGTAAGTAAAAGTCAGATATTTGAATGTTAGCACTGTTTGGCACTAGTGATAAATAACAGCAGCTCTTGGAAAAATGAGGATAGATTTCAGGATAAGTCATCCAACAAAGTGTATTTTATGATTCCATTAGTAAAAATGTTTTTGTTAAATAATGAATGCAGATTATTTAAAGGCAAAGATTTATGTAAAAAGGAATGGTAGGGTGCCTATAAAAACCAAAACAGATGTATTGAGTTCTGCTTTCAATATTTGTTGTGAACAAATGAAGAAATACTTTCATGGTGTTTATTTAGTGATGTTTCTATTTTGTTTCCTGAAACAGACATAGGGCCAGCACAGCTTTTAAAAAGTAAATTGATCTAAATAGTGAAATCAAATTTCTTTTTAAAGAAAAATGCCAAGTAAACTTTTCAAGTGCAGTTTTAGATTAAGGAGGCTATCAGACTAGCTGGCAAAAAAAACCAACCAACCAACCAAATAAAAAAGCATCAGATTATTTAGCATGTGGGCAGTGCATGTCCTTTCATTCATTCCCTCTATGGTGGGACTTGAGGTTCATGTTTTGTGAAAGAAAATAGCTATTTCAAAAATGTAGGAGAAATGACATGGGAATAGAGAAATCTGATAGCCTTGACAGTCTCAGTTTGTGAAGTGCCAT